TTAAAAAAAAAAGAAAGAAAGAGCCAACAATTCTGTACTCACTGGTGTTAGATTCATTTGTCTTTTCTTCCTCTGATTTAAACACACTTTAAAAAGATGTGACAGAAAGTACTCAGTATTGAATTATTTCAGTACTCATTTCATTGAGTAGTATAGATCAAATAAACACTGTTTCAAGGAAATAAAAATAATTTCACAGTCATCTCCACTGAATCATGTTGAATAGCTACCAAGTTAGCAGGAGCAGAGTGGAATTTAGTTATGAGAACACCTCCCATAAAACCTAATCCTTTTCACAGCAGAAAAGACACTGGCCAGGATGAGATTATGAGATATAATATAGTACAAAAAAAGGAACCAAGTCTATAGAAAAATTTCTTAAAATAAGTTATTTATCTGTGGTACATGAAGCTTCAAGTTTTTTAAATTCATCATTCCATAGTACACCCTTCAATTCACAGTAAAACCTTGGAATACCCAGATTTTTCTTCCCCTTTTTAGGATTTATTTTTATTTTTTTATTCTAAAAGTGCTGATTTTCTTTCAATATTTATACAATTAAATCAATATAATAACCCCTCATTAAAATTTAAAAATTACCTGTATTTATACATGATATCAAATATACTTACACTTACACCAAATACACTAATTTAAACTTTCTAGTAAATAATACATTCTGGTCCATAAATAATGTAGTACATTTTATTACCCAAAATGAACAATAACAGTTTTCTACACATGTATCATTCTTAATCAAATTCAAATATTTTCTACTTGTAAAATACATGTAAGAATATCTCAGTGAATGTGTCATGACTCAGATTTTATCTCACCTACTTTCTTGCTATATGCAGTAATCTATAGATAGAAAACCTTTTTCTTTTTTGTTGTTTTTGTTTCCTTTTTTGGTTTTCTTTTCTGATATATCTACTCTTTTGACTTGTACTTCATTAGATCATGCTATCCTCAGCTCAAAATGTTTCCACCCCATTCCTTCACATATCTGGCTCAAAGTCATTCTAGAATTAGCTGAAAACATTGTGAAAAATATTTGTGTTTTCAGGGAATTTTACTTGTTTCTTTTCAATAACTGGTGTTGCCATAGGATTATGTTCATGTCTAGCAGTTGCAATATTTGTTTTAATTTACCTATTTACATTTTGAAGTCCCACTTGCATTTTAAGATTGAGTTAAAGATAATACCGTAGTCACCTTGAATCAGCTGAGTGTGGGATAATTCCTGGCTTATAATATCCACCAATCAAAAATTTTGAAAGAATGACCCAGAAATCACATCAACTCGATACTAAAGAAAAGATTCAGTATTTTATTCACTGAAAACAGAAGCAGGACAGATGATGCTGATATATTTTTCCTTTGCAGTTGAATATAGGAGATCATAAAGACAATGAATTGGACAGCAGAGGAAATTTTCAAGTCTAGTAAAAAGTTTCACCTTTTAGACAGATTTATTTTGCAGTACTGGGGAGGAGAGACTGGAAGGCAGAGAAGGATTTTTGTAAGAATCAGGTGAGGGAGTTATGACAAAAGTACAATTACCCCAAAATGCTGAAGAATTTAACCAGGACAAAAGTGGTTAAAATTAAGAAAAATGTAAAATGTTTTAGAGGTGGAAACATAAGATTTGGCTGTAGCTGAAAATATTTAAGATTGAGATGGGGAAAGGAAAATGTCAGGACAAAAAAATAGTTTAGATGACATGTACAGAAATATGAAATGAAGCAGAATGAAAAGATTTTATTTATTCTGTTTGTGGTTTTGGAAAAAGATATAATTGTCTAAGTTTTAGACATTGGAGTACCAATGAGCACTTTAACTAGAGGTATCCAGAAGGTAAGAATGACGTGCACTGATTGAGGAAGGTTCTTAGATTAAAAAATAAGGTGTAGGAGACCAATGATTAGAAAAAAAATGACAATTTAAAATACTAATTTATCAGAGAGACTGTACAGAATGATATGAGAACTGTATGGAGAACAATAAGAAAACAGAAATGAGTAAATTCATAGAAAGAGAATGAGAACAAAGCCAAAACAAAAATCTTTTGAAGATAGCTATCAAGGAGAGAGAGAGAGAGAGAGAGAGAGAGAGAGAGAGAGAGAGAGAGAGAGAATGATTATTTGAAAAGTAATTGTAAATAATGGCATATCCATGAGAATAGAGCAAGCTAAAACTAATTTTAGAAATTAACAAATTTTATCTCATTGGTAATTTACAGATTAAGCCCAATGAAAATAGATAAGAATTCCATATACAGTGAAACACTAAGTTTAATCAAAAAGGAATGAACAACAACATATTTACATGTAAAAAGAAAACTTACTCAAAATATGAGCAAAAATTACATTGTATCATCTAGCCTAACAAAAATATATAAAACAACCTGCGAGCAGCAGCGTAGGCGCGCAGGCTGAATGATCCCTGGCCTTCTGAAAGCCGGGATCTGTCTTGCTCGCCAGGCCCATCTGGAACCAGTGAGACTATGAGGAGCCCTGGACACGCCCATTGGCAAGCAGCTCAGCCTCGCCTGCAACTCCCGCCCCCCTCCCCCGCCTCTGGCCTCCTGGCTGTGCCGCTACCTGGCTCCACACTACAGAGGCACAGGGGGACCTAAAGACCATTGTCCTGAGCTGCAGAAGTGAACAACAGATAAGAGGGCCTCTCTCAGGCTCCTTGATGAAAACTGAAGCCCACTGGAAAAGTGACGAAAATCTCTGCAATAAAGGCACACCAGACCACTGTGCTTGGTAAGTTGGAGGGATCATCACCTCCCATCGGAACCTTGACTATGTTCAGGGGAAGGGCAACTGGAATCTGCAGTAGAGCCTTGAAGAGTTCAAACCTGCAGAACAACAGGGAGCTCAACTTGGGACTTGCAGCCAGAAATATGCCTGAATTTCACTGGTCTATGACTGGCTTGCTGAGACTCATTGACTTATATCTGCACACTGCTGCCCACCTGAAGGAGACCCTTCATGTTTATCTTTTATTTGTTATTTTCAAAATTATTATTAGTATTGTTTTAGCTCTTACTTTTATTTTTTTTTCTTTTTCTACTCTTTTCAAATTTTTATTTTTCTTTTTTCTTTCTTTTCTCTTTTTTTTTTCTCTCTGTCTCACTCAATCCCTTGCTGTCCCACATTGTTCTTCATTTCCCTTTGTGTTTCTGTTCTGGCCCTAATTCATATTTCTTCTTTATTTTTCTTTTCTTCTCTTTTTCCTTCTCTCACCTGTGTCCTCTGGTCTCACTGCCAACCTTGCAGTTAATGACCGTGAAAACAGAGATTTCTTAAAAATAGTAAGGTGTGGAGGATATGAGAAGTTCTCAGGACCTCAGACAGCCTTGGGAAGACAGATTATCATGATGTCTGTGGCAGGCCCACATAGAGAAGTTAAAGATAATTTGAGAAGGCTGTTTGTCAATCCCACAGTATTCATTCGTTCTGCTGTGGTCCCTTGAGACTCTCAAATATTTGCTTGGCATAAGAATAGATAAGAGTAGCTAACTTTTTAGAAGCTTTAAGTAGCCAGGATGATTTAGATAAGATGCACTAAGATTAAAGGAGCATAGATGGTTCTTTAGATGCTTTATGTACTAACAGATATAACTGGTGGTTAGTTGATTAGCATTGTAAATTGTTAATGATTGATGTAGCCTACAGAAAAATGCATAAAAGAAGAATATTACCAATAAACCTGGCCTGAACTCCACACAAAGCTCTGGTCCCCTGTGCTCCTTCATTTAATAGGTTTCATCAGATACTGTCTTCAGGTTCCAGTCTCCCACCAAGGAGACCCCAACAAGTGGCGCCCAAACAGGGACCTGAACATTAGTGGCTCAGGTGGTATCAACGGTAAGAGAAACTAATAACAGGGTTATGGGGCAAGCACAGGGACTTGGTGCTGTTTTTACTACTTTAGTTCATCATTTGTTGAAGACACAAGGTGTCCACCTATCCCGAGCTCATACTGAAGCTTGTTTAAAAGTAGTAACAGAATATAATCCTTGGTTTCCTGACACTGAAACACTGGAAGATGAGACTTGAGTAAGGGTTAAAGAAAATGTGGAAAAAGCTTTGCTACAGGGAGAGAACATCCCAGTGGACTTTTGGCCCATTTGGTCTCTGATTCCTGTGGTAATGAACCCATTTTCATCTGAAGAGACATTAAAGAAGGAGGAAGTTTACAATTTGGGAAAATGGTCTTTGCATGAATGCAAAATACCTGATGCAGAAAAAGACAAAAGTTAAAAGTGAAAGTAAAAATCTGTTTCCCTCTCTAGGACCAGTTGTCCCATCTGGCTCCTCCAGAGCATTTGATTTCTTTCTTTCTTTTTTTTTTTTTT